ACGGGGTTGTGCGACTTCACGGAGTCGCGAAGGTCATAGTGTCAGATCGAGATCCCCGTTTTACCGGACATTTATGGGAGAGCCTTAGCGAGGCCATGGGGACAGAGTTGAGGCTCAGTACCGCTTTTCACCCGCAGACCGACGGCCAGTCGGAGCGGACCATCAAGACACTCGAGGACATGATTCGAGCATGTGTTCTGGATCGTGGTAGTACATGGGAGGAGTTGTTGCCGCTGATTGAGTTCCGTACAACAACAGCTATCAGGCGTCGATCAAGATGGCGCCGTACGAGGCTTTGTACGGGCGCAAGTGCCGATCACCCCTTTATTGGGATGAGGTCGGCGAACGGCAGGTTCTCGGTCCGAAGCTGATCGAAGACACGATGGAGAAGGTCGCCTTGATCCGAGAGAGGATGAAGGTGGCACAGGATCGACAGAAGCGTTACGCTAACCAGCGTAGGTGAGACCTCCAGTTTGAGATAGGAGAGAAGGCGTTCCTGAAGATCACGCCTTTGAGAGGCGTGGTTCGCTTCGGGAATAGGGGGAAGCTGCAACCCGATTCTTAGGCCCATTCGAGATCCTCGAGCGAGTGGGCGAGGTGGCATACCGGTTGGCGTTGCCACCCGAGCTTTGGGGTGTGCATAACGTCTTCCACGTTTCGATGCTGAAGGATTACGTGCATGACCCATCGCACGTGTTGAGTTACATTGAGCTTGACGTCGGGCATAACCTGACGTATGAGGTGCAACCAATGGCTATTCTGGACCGAAAGGTTCAGCGGCTGAGGAGCAGAGATGTATCACTCGTTCAAGTCCAGTGGACTCGCCACGACGAGGCCAAGGCCACTTGGGAGCGAGAGGAGGAGATTCGAGCTCGCTATCCAGATTTCCAGTTCTGATTAGTAGTATCGTATTATGTATTTTTCAGTTTCTAGTCGAGTTAGCCTTATGTTTAGTTTTGTCATTTCCGGGGACGGAAATGTTTTAAGGAGGATAGATTGTAAGCCCCGACCCAAAATTATATTAGTAGCTCGACTTTATTTATCAAAATTAGTAATATTTTTAATTATGTCGAGAATTATTAATATTAACTGCATAATTTATTTAATTTCAAGTCTAAGCCATAAAGAGAGCGTCCAATTAATTAAATTACCAAGCCCAACATTTTATTGGGCCCATCTAACGGCATTTATTTTCTTAAGCTCGAGTTGAAGTTATTTTAATTAGTCGGCCCATTTTAATTCGAGTAGTCGAATTAATTTTGTAACACCCCAAGTTTTATTAATAAAGGAAAATACTAGCTTTTAATGTTAAGCTAGCCTTTG